CCCCGCAGGGGAAGGGGACTGCGGGGGGACGGGGCCTCAGCCCGCTGAGGAGCGGGCTCGGCGGGGAAGGGGCTCTGGAGGGAGAGGGCGGCGGGAGCTGACTGGAGCACACCCTCAGCAGGCGGAGGCAGCGGGTCACGGGCGGCAAAGACGGGGTTTGGGGGTGCCGAAGCCAAGTGCCTCGGGCTGCGTGGCTTGGTCAGGGAAGCCTTGTAACTTAGTTCTTAACTAATGGGGGAGGCAAAAACCTCAGGCATGTCGTGCCCGGCATTATAAATGTAACCTAGCGGTAGCGTGCAGGGCTGGGGCACTGGGCGGTTAGACAAGGTAAAATTTGGAATTGGATTCCCTATGCTAGCAGTCTCTCCGAATGTTACTTTTGGCGCGGCTGTCTTGCAGCAGCACCTGCACGGGCTTTCAGAGAAACAGAAAGGAAGTCTTTTAAGAGCCTACCAAATGCTGATGTGATTTGTGTCGTGGATAGGAAATTTCAGAAATCTAAAAGCATGCAAACCCCCAAAAATATAATAGGTGCACAATTTACACCATGTTAGAAAACCTAGCCAGGGGGTTATTTCTCGTGCTCTGCCCAGAACCTCATAGATGATACTATTACTGAATGACTTATTTTTTTCAGTAGAACCTGTGCTGCCATCACAATGCCTGAGGTAAACACAGATCACCTGGATGAGCAGCAGGTGCAGCTCTTGGCAGAGATGTGCATTCTTATTGATGAAAATGATAATAAGATTGGAGCGGATACTAAGAAAAACTGTCACTTGAATGAAAACATTGATAAAGGTACAGCTTGCTTACCTTCTAATTGAACCATTACACTGATTGAATATTTTCAGAAATATAGTCATGATGAAATTAAAGTCTTAATCTCAGGCAAGCGTTGATCAAACCAGAGCAACTATTTCCCCACATCGGCCTCCTACCCCAGTTTACAATATTTGATTTTAAAACTACTGCAAAACCAGATAGTTGGAGGCAGTAGCAAAGGAGAGCAACGTGTGATTGCACATGTAAGCTGTATGTAGCTTTTTCTGAAGAATGCCACTTGCTTTTTTGCCGAGTTCTTTTGAAATAGAAGAGATTTTTAAGTAGTTCACACAGAGTTCTACTTCAAATACTGCTAATAGGAAAGGTTTTTTTGTTGTTGCCGTTCTGACTGATTGTGGGTTTTATTTGAGGTTGGTCAGATTCAAGAATTCTCTTAGTGGTTTGTGACCTCCTTTGGGGAAACATCTTCCCAAAGAGTGAGGAATAACCAACTCAAAAGGTGCAGAAAACAGCAATTGTACTGTTTTTAAGGGAGCCTGTTTTCCATTGTACTTCCACAATTCCTAAAGCGTCTTGAAAGTCCATGCAGTTTTTTAGGAATTTTTGAGTAATTTCTTTTTGCTAGTAAATTTATGGATGCTGAGCCCTCCTTTAGAAGCTTGCCTGAACATGCATCTTCAGAATGGTGAAATGAGCAAGTTTAGTATAACTCTGTTCTCTGTTGCATTGTTGTTCTTGGCACTTTCCTAATTTCATAATGTTGTGCATAAGCTCAAATAGAACCTAAATAGTAACTCTGAGATTTTTATCAAATCCTTTTTTTAAAAAAAAATATATGAATTTTAAATTAGATTACCCAAAAATGAGGCTGTTCTAAGCCCTTGAACTGTCTTCATATGTGTTTTTCTGCTCTGCTTAATAGCTGTCTGTGTTTTTTTTATTTTTAGGTTTACTGCACCGAGCTTTCAGTGTTTTCTTATTTAATACAGAAAATAAACTGTTGCTGCAGCAGCGGTCAAATGCAAAAATTACATTTCCAGGTTAGTACTGAAACAAATTGTATTTATCAAAATGTTTTATTTAATATTTTAAAAAGTATACCATTCTAATCTTACAGTAACTTATTTTGAGGTTTTACAATTTACCTTTGCAGAGGAGAGAATTCTAAATACTTCAAAGAGTTGGAAGATGTGCTTATCTTGTGGATGAAGTAAAATAATGGGAATGCTAGCTTATTGTTATATATGTTCTTGGGAAATGATTGTCTGCTGACATGTTTAATCCTGTTTATGCAAGTTGCAGAGTGTGTGGTGTTTACCTCCTCTGCTGCAAGACGTATTTAGTAGAGTTGAAGCAATTACTCTGGTAGCTGTGGAGAGCGTTCTTGTTCCACTAGTAAAGACACATAGTGGGTGTATAGCAGAGCCTTGCAGCTTGGAAGCGGTTGTGTGGTGCTTCAGTGAGATCTGCAGACCTTTGTCGGTGTATGTCTTAACAAACGCTTTTTTAATGATAGAAGTGAGACTATGTGGCCAAGCTATATATGCATGATTTCTGAAGGTTCTTGAACTATTGCTATCAAATGCTAAAGGAGAGGCATAAAAATAAGAAGTGGGATGAAAGATAAATGCTTAAACAAGGCATGTTGGAGGAAATTAAAGCTGTCTGTTTCAGAATTTCAGATGGAAAACAGATTCAGGTGTTTCTAACCCTCTTCAACTTGAGGAAGAAGGACTTTTCCCTCCCAGGGTATCTTTAGAGATTGTTTTTTCATTTTTTCCTTGACTGGCTAACTAATCAAAATGCTCCAGTGTAGATTGTAGGTAATCTGACTATTTTAGATGCTTTTGAACAGATTAAAATTTGGCCACAGTTATTCTTCATAACTGAGACGTAATTTTTAATATACTTAAAACAGAGTATAGAGGATCTGTCCTTCAAACACAAGCATAAACTATTTACTTACTCTCAGCTGGTCTTGAAGCTCTGGGAATACTTTCAATATTCTGTTGCATATAAACTTCTAGAAGTAATTTTAATTGGCATTTGCAGGATAAACAAGGTCTTCATAAACTGGCTCTCTAAGTAGACGCTATCTTGGGTATGAGAATGTGTGTCTTCATGTGCTTCAAACACTAACCTGCAAAGTACCACTTGGTAGAGGCAAATCTCGGTGCAAAATATGGAAAGAAAAATAAGAGGTGAAAATACCCTCCTTCCTCTCTGACCCTTCCCTGCAAGAGAAACAAAGCTGTGATGTGTTGAATGTTCTACGTCTCTGGGTTTGTTTGAGGGTTTGGGTTTTTTTCCAGTGCTTTATATGTGTCAAAAATGTACTGATACAAACTTCTTGCAGATTGTTTTACCAACACTTGTTGCAGTCATCCTCTAAGCCATCCACTAGAACTGGAAGAAAATAATGCTCTTGGTGTTAGGAGAGCAGCGCAGAGACGACTGAAAGCAGAGTTAGGAATTCCCACGGAGCAGGTAAAGGAAGGAGGGAGAAACGGGAGTTCTTGCCATTGTTTGCTGATATACACCCTAACTGCATCTGGCAGACAGGGTCAGCCTGAAACCTAAGAATGAACTTAGGCAGGCCCATGGCAGAGTGCCATATGCATTCTGTGTGACTGGGGCTCCTGGAGGGCATCGCTGTGAGCTGCTGCAGCGTCCCTGTGCAAGACCCTCTGCAATCCCAAGTTTCCTATGGGAAGTAGGGTGGCCTGGGCACTTGGTGTTCCTTCCACAACAATCACCCAGCCCGTTTCTGGTACCTTCCTTTCTGGTGGCAGTTTAGGAGCACAGTGGGGTGAAGCTGCCTGGGTTCCACTTGTGGTCGAAAAAAATCTCTTTCCACGTTTTGTAACTAACTACATTTGTGTTGTGGGACAGGAGAGAAGCAATGTGCAGCTGGGAAACATGGTGGGTAGGTTGTCTCCAGGATTAATTACCCCATCTGCAACTTGCGCAGATCCCTGGTAGGTGGGGGTTATGTGTGGTCTGTTAGTATGCAGGTCTGACCTCTCCTGTAAGTAGCTGTCAGGTTGTTTCTTGGGGAGATGAGGGGCAGGTGCAAATGTTTGTGTTCATCAGTGCTTTGGTGAGTGTGCCTTAAGGTCTGGTAAACATTATTTAAAACTTGCTGGATAAAAGAAATCATAGGGTGAGTCTGACTAGAGAAATGGTGTGCAATTCATGTCATCAGAGTGCAATAAAAATTAGTTTTCATAGTAATTCTTTGTGACAAAGTACACTGCAATTGTACACTTGGGGTAAAAATAATTTTTAAGGAAGAGGGTAATAGCTGATAATTCTTCTGTAAAACCTGGCAGTGCTGCTGTTCTGGTTTGGCACCTACTCTGACAAGTGTTTTGGTCATAGGTAACTCCAGAAGAAATCTCCTATCTGACAAGGATTCACTACAAGGCCAAGTCTGATGGGATCTGGGGGGAACATGAGATAGACTATATCTTATTTGTGCAGAAGGACGTAACGCTGAACCCTGACCCTAATGAGATACAAAGCTACTGCTATGTGACGCAGAAAGAACTGAAGCAGCTCTTGGACAAAGCCTCCAAGAATGAAGTGAAGATTACTCCGTGGTTTAAACTAATTGCAGAGACCTTTCTTTTTAAATGGTGGGATAACTTATCTAACTTGAACAAGTTTGTTGATCATGAAAAAATACACCGAATGTAAATAGCTGGGGTAGAAGATGCTGAAGGCTGGCAGTGATGGGCGGTCTCAGTAACACTGTGGTAACTCATGACTCTTGAGTGCAGAGAATTGGTCCACCTGGAGCATGTTTAACAAATAATTTTATACAGAGATGGTTATAGCCAATGGGTTTTTGTTCCCTTTTCACCTTCTCTTCCCCCCAGCCTTGCTTCTCTTGGGTGAATTAAGCTGGATCTCACATAAAATGGGTAACGGTAGCTTAAGAAGCCCCCTGGGTTCATCTTTCTCCATTACCCAGTGTGACACAAAAGATCCTTTGTAGGTGTGTGCCCAGTTTGCTCTTACCTCCTTGCATAACTAACTGCACATGCTGGCAAGGGAGTCTGGGTGCCTCCTGCCCAGCTCGTTTGCTAGAACTGGTGTGTCCCCAGCTGTCTGTGACTACACCTGCTGGCACAGTGATTGCAAAAGAATTTGAGTTCTACATTTATGTTGATAAAGACTAGTTGCCTGAAGAAAGAACCCAGTTTGTTCCAAGTGATGAGGATGATTTTAACTGCAGAAAGCAAATCTCTTCAGCTACTATTAAATAAACCAAACACATAAAAGCTTAAGTAAGGGGACTGGTGGTGCGGACTGAGTTTCACTTTGAAGTGCTGCAATGTGTGTCCTAGCTTTAGAGAATAAATGGTGGGTTGGTTTGGGCTTTTTCCCTACCATCTTTTTCTGGTTAGCTGATGACAAAGTACTGGACATCTCTAAATAAAAAATAATGATTAATTATACCAAATTAAGTGGTATATGCATTAATGGCTCTTCTCTATCGTCTGGAAAACAAAGGTACCTTGATACAATCTTTTTTCCCTTGCAACATCTACTGTAATCGTTTTTCCAGAGTCTTGGAAGACTCAAAAACCCCTTGAACTCTGAAACTGAAGACTCAATTTATGTACTTACACTGATTCTTCAGTTAATCAGAAATTCAGCCAGACTGCAAGAGCCGATCCTTTTTGATCCTGCAATCAGTTGCTAGGAGAGTTTTAATAAGACAAATAATGAAGTGTATCTCAATTTGAATTAAAGTACTCTCCATACACACATCCCACTCCCACCCTCCATCTTGTGATTTCTTCTGTTAGGAGTCTACTCAACCTGGATTTCTTAAGGTAACTTCTCCCAGAGATGTCTTGATCAAAGAGTAGGTTTTTCATGCTACTTCTAGCATGTAAACTGCAGTGGTTCTAACGAGTCTGTGTCTGGTATCAAGGCAAAACTAAATTTCTCCCATGGTCAACACATTCCTCTCTCATCCCAGTTGTGACTGCAGCACTGAAGCGTCTGTGTCAGCATCTCCAGTGGTTCAACACTTAGGGGTTTTAGAGCAAAGTTTGTTGTATGTTGACCTGAATTGATGTATTGTCTTGAAGCAAATAATAGTGGATGAGGGAATAGTAATGCAGTGTAACAGCTCTCCTGAATTCAGTGCCATCAGCCACATTACCCAAGTAACACATTAGAATATTTTGCAAATACATAAAACACTTCAAAGAAATACTATCTTAAAGGTAAGATTATGATTAAAATTAGCTAACCTAAAACCTTGGATTGCTGTTTTCTTTCCAGACTTTGAGCCGCAGAAAGAATAATCTCTGACATTACTACACTGTAAACAACAACATAAGTATTAAACATCACTGAAGCAGTATGATGGGGGATAGCAGGGCATACATTTATTTTAACAAAGTTCTACCTTTCTAGTTCAAATGGCCAGCTTGGAGCCAGAGCTGACAAAGCACATCCTGAAGTAGAAATAATGTGCATAAGGAAGCTGAAAGCAAAGTTTCACTAAACAGCTCTTCAATATCCCTTAAAAAGCTTTGACTAAGTTCTTGACGTTGAACATTTTTGCAGCCTTACAGTATGCTTTCAATACTATTACATGGAGTAGATGAGGGAAATTGGATTTACACATAATGCTCTAATATTCTAAAGTTGACATCTGAACACTCTTACCCTGTTGTATTTAAAAAAACAGTAGTAATTTTAAGGATTCTTCCCCCCTTTTGGGTTTTTGTTTGGTTTTAAACCTGCATATTTCACTGGATTTCTGTTTAAAACTGCATTTTAAGTGTATTGTTTAGGCAACACATAATTTTACCAATCTCTAGATAATTCATACCTTGTTCCTGACCAACTAGGGACAAAAATGGACTATTTCATATTTGACAATGTATTTTGCCTTGAACAGATAAAAAATTTTTGTCTATCAACTTCTGAAGATAAAACATCTTCCTAAGCAGAGGGTGACAGTAGCATAACTGACATGCACTCAGGACAAAATTTTAGTCTGATCCTCATTTTCTACGTATCTGAAATATTAGAAGTTCTAAATTGTACCCTTTGCTGCCCATGCTGTTTTGGGTTATTGCAGATGGCAAGTCAGTACTGAAACTGCAGTTACTCCTCCAGCTTCAGTCACCGTTCAGCCCAGAAACTGGCAGTACTTGTGCCATTCATTCCAAACTGGTTCAGCACACGAACACTAACTTTGGGTGGTACTTGCCCACAATTTCAGCCTTCATCTGCTACATAAACTAATCCTTTACTATACATCAAAGAATTAACTTGTACACAGAAAACCGAACCTTACTGATGCAGAACCTTATGAAGCTGTGCATTTTTATTTCTGATGGTAGCTTCATTAACAAATACTTCCATTTCTAGATTTAACCTCATTTTAAATCTAGTTTTACATAGAACTTTAAATGCTTTATTGCTACGTGAAAGTTGGGAGTAAGAAAATGGCATGAAGTATTTTTTATGTCTATTTAGAAATAGTTTCTACCCCTGGTATCGACAAGTTTCTCATGGTATTACTTAAAACAGCAAGATCAAGGTCTCAGAACTTTCTGAGCTTCAAGTATCTTACCACTAACACAAACCATGTACTGTTTAAACACTCTATATGATTAAAAAGGAAGACAGGACTAGAAATTAGTTCTAATAAACTTAGTTTTAATTCAGAAGACTGCTTATCTTCTCTGTGTTTTACCAGATTTTCTCTTTCCAGCCAGCAGATGCTTTGGCTTCAAGTCAAATATATGTCTGTCCGACTCTCCTTTCCTGCCCAGGCGATTCATTTTCTTCTGAGCTTTCTTTGCCATAGTCTTGACTTTCTTCACCATCTATTTAAAAATAAACAAACATGCAGAGTAACTTCCTCACTAACTCAGGTAACTAGCTTTACCTACCTTTTAAAAAAACACCAAGCGAGATGATTTTAACAAGGACATTAACTGACACACAATGTACGCCACCATCTGCAACTTGAACAGCAGCACTCAAGTGACACTATTCCTCCTTAGCAAAACGCTTGTTTTTCCAGTACGCTAACGGTATGACCACGCTACTCCTGGAATTCCTAACTTATTAAAGGTGGAATTCCACAGTTTGTAGAACTCTTACTTCATACTTGCATTTAGAAACAAAAATTCAAAATGCACTTTCTTTGTATTATTATGTCTTATTTGTGGGAATGAATTAGGCATTTTTGAAGTATAGAGAGTCCAAACAAACAGAAGATGAAGCTGCAAAGACAAGAAAGATTATGTCTGGACAAACATCACCAGCCTAGAGTGAAGTTTCCCAGAAGCTGTTTTAAGTACAACCATGCTGATGTGACTGCTATAAAGTAAGTAACTTAACACACCTTTTCATCACGAAGACCAGAAACATCCCGTGGTGTGCGAGAGGAGCTGCGACTGCGTGCCACAGATTTAGGGGTCTCAGACTCATCACGTTTACGTTTCCTTGTAACACTACGGGACCTTCTCGCATAATGTGCCTGAAATTCAAAACATCACTTTAATAATTAAAACCAGGAACAATCAGCTCAGACACGCTCCATTTCTCATTAGGCTAATAGGAAAGAACAGGAAGTGGACTGCTGGGATACATCACACCAGCTGTTACATAGTAACATAAAGACCTTGTCAACTGTTGGGCGCTGCCTCTGTCCTACAGTAATACTCAAATTTTGGTGAATATTAGCATATTCTTTTCACAATTATTAACTCCAGTTCTCTGCTTTTTTTCTGAGGAGATTCTAAGTAATGGGTAAAAAGACAAATTAATGCATAGGAATACTGAAGCAATTTTGCAACAGGAAAAAAGTGATGAAGAAACCTACTCTGATTAGTGGCTGTTTACAGGACAAAGCCCTAATGAATTTCAGATATGAAGACTTACCCTCCTACAGCATAAACTCCTCCACACTGAAATCACTCCTAAATCAACATGGTATGTCAGCTCTGATAAGCATAAATGCTTGCTTCAGATGTGTAGTGTTGACGTTGCTTGTTTCCTAACTTCTTGCTTAGTGAAAGAACTTGAGGTCTCAAGATCTAGATAGCCATAATACTGATGGAGTTGCTGTACAAAATGGATTTTATTTTCCATTTCTGATAGAATGAAATGTCTCCTGAAGGCAAATCTATGTTTGAAGTACTTTGGCTCCCTTAATCTAAAGATGCCAGTTGCCCTCAAAAACTTCAATTACAACTCTCAGAATTAATGACTTGTAAAAAAATAAAGCCTGATCTGTCATTATTACTGTTTCTGACTAGCAGTGTCTCATTCAACAAAGCAGACTTGAAAATTAAGTACATTTAGCCAAACTGTTATTGAATCCTAGACAAATTCCAAAATAATCCCTAATAAAAAGCAGTGCATATATTCTTGATAGCTTATTTTTTCAGCCTACCCAATGTGTTTTGATCATGTCACTCAAAATTGCCAGTATCAACTGCCTCATCTGAGTTTCCTATTTTCTCCTTAATAGATCCCACCTCTCTCTTGTGCCAACTGTTAATAAGCATTTCAAATGTGCTCAGAGGAATTTAGCATGTGATGAAATTGATCCCTTTTATCTAAACATTGTCTTTAATTAGCAAAAACTTACATCATCTTTATTAGTCATGTCGAGTCCAAGATCAGTCATTTCTTTCTCTAGCACCTTCCGTTGGACCTGGAAAAAAGACAGTTAAGAAAACATGTTTCTTTCCAAAAAGCATGGTTCTATCTTACTTTTTGTCTTAATATACCACCATAAATCCATTATATTCACAACATATTTATTCCTTTGGCACACACCACAAACAGACGATGGAAGTCATAGCTCCATATTTCATTTACGCAATTCAATTCTCTACACCCACAAATCCTTCACAAGATTGCAATGTTGTAGCATTCCTTAAAGATATTTCAAATAGTTTTGCCTTTTGCGGGGAAGATGTCAAAGACAAGAATCTCATTCAGAAATGTTTTCTTCTCTCCCAAAAAGCACGTGCTTTGGGGAAGGTAAGAAATACTGGGTGTAAAATCAGCTAGATTCATTTTCTCAAAATGTCTAGTTATCAGTTTCTTACTTTGCAATTGTCCTGGACTGGTCAAGAGATTCTGACATTAAAAAGAATGATACCTAGGTTCCAGAAAGAAACATACAATCTTTTCCAGCATAGGGAGGGCCTCATAACAAATTTTACATGATCATGATTTGAAGTAACTATATAATTCCCCCAATTATTTGAATTCAAAGTAAGCAAACGAACGAACAACACCAGTAGCAACATACAGTGCAGCAACCCAATTAAACGAGCTGAACTGTATTCAAAACTTTTTTTGCAATGTACATATATATAAAAAATTTTACAAAAGACTCACTTGTGTGCCATGAAACAAAAAGGGCTACTGTCACACTCACTTGGTTTGGCCTCCACAATTAAGTGGTGACCAGAACTCCTAGGGGCACAGAAGGAAGCATGCAGCAAGGGAGAGGGCCAAACATAAGTACTAACTTCCACTACCCCATATTGTTTTATGTTTTCATAAAGTTATTGTGCATCAGCAAGATTCTACTGCAGAGTATGTTTTATACTTGCCTTTTTCGCTGTTCTAGGCATCCTTGGACCTCGAGTATCTTTTTCCTTTGACTGCAGAATTTTCAGTTTCTTCTTTTCTCGGATCTGTTTTGCCAACTGTCGGATTTCCATCATTTCTTCATCTTCACTTTCCGGTTCACTGTCATATTCTCCAGCAGCTTCTCTCAGCTCTTCCTCTTTCTCTAATTCTTCCAGTTTCTTAGATTTTGAAGAGATGAAATGAAAATCAAGAAGATGCTCATCAAATCCTTGACTTACAATCCTCAATATTACATTCTGGCATGGCTCAGGGCCATGACAGCATGCAGACCCTTCAAAGAAGGAACTATGTTACTTGATAATGACCACTTTGGCCACACTTAATGCAGTTGGTGACACAGATTACTGTGAACCTGTGGGGCACACTACTGTGCAGACTTATTTGGTCACATTGCATTATAGCTTGGCTGTATCTGTGTGACTGCCCTGAAGCTGCCCACTGTGTGAACACAGATGTACTATCCTGTGAACTGTGCTAGCTGTGCCAATTCTGGAAACACACTAAAAAACCCTTCTCTTTCTACATTTAGCATGAGTCTGGAACACCAGCAATTCAGATGTACCCAACTGTATAACTGGAGGCTCCACAGTCTGCACTCATTACTTCTCCTTGACAACCA